GATGTATGACAAAGGGTTTGGTGATCAGTCGAGCCTGATGGATCGTGAGAGACCCAAAGCAGCCGAGAAACGATACAAGTGTGCTGATTGCGGGAAAGGCTTCAAGAAACGGTCGGCCCTCCTCACCCACGACCGGACTCACACGGGAGAAAAACCCTACAAATGCCCAGAATGCGGGAACAGCTTCAGTAACAAATCCAGCCTAACGAGACACAAGAGGAAACACACCGGAGAAAAGCCGTTCTGTTGCTTAAACTGTGGGAAACGTTTCAGCCAGAGCTCGAGCTTAATCAGGCACATGAGGAATCACACCGGCCTGAGGCCCTACATATGCTCAGATTGCGGCAAAAGCTTCAAGCAGAGCTCCAGTCTTCTAGTCCATGGGAGAACGCATACGGGAGAGACCCCCTATAGTTGCTCCATCTGTGGGAAGCGCTTCTCCCAGAGCTCAAATCTGGTGAAACACGAGAGGATCCACACTGGGGAAAAGCCTTACAGATGCTCGGACTGTGGGAACACCTTCAGTAACAAATCTAGCCTTACAAGACATAAGAGAAACCACACAGGGCAGAAACCCTACAAATGTTCCCAGTGTGGGAAAAAATTCAAACAAAGCTCAGGCCTTCTTAAGCATGAGAGAATCCATACACGGCCCAGCTTCTCACAATATCCTCATCCTAGCTTGGATCCGGATTCTAAGCTGCCTGCATGTGAGAGAGACCATGTTGGAGAGGCCGTATAAGCTGCTTGCTCTATAAGCCGCGTTTTTATTTGACATTAGTAGCAGAGGACAGGGTTCAAACAGAATGGAGCTGTATTTGAATAGTAGTGGGAAAGTGTTGGATGATAGATATACAAACCCCGCAGAGTCGGTGACCACGGTCTCAACGATACGGCCAAACCCTCTTTTCTTGCTGCTTTGCAAACAGAACCCAAAGGGAAGACGTTTGTGATATAGTGATGGAGTTTTCAGAGTCTGACCAGTTTTTATCTATAAAATAATTTCTTTGGGAGGAAAAAGACATCTTGAAGAGACAGTTTAGTGCAGTGATGGCGAACCGAGTGCCCAAAAACTGGGCCCGCCCCCGCTCCACCCTCCTGCCCCACCCCCGCTCTTCCCCCCATCCCCCGCCCTGCTTGCCCACAGGACCACTCACTGCCTCCAGGGCCCGCCGCAGATCTCCCAGGCAGTCCAGCAGCGCTATGGCTGCCACACCCTCTGCCTGAGTCCTGCAGCATCAACTGCATGATGGGGTGTGAGGGCAGAGTCTTGTCTACGCTGCCTGGCTGCCGTATCCTTGGCTGCACTGCTCCGTGTGGGCCACGCTCGGGGGTGACTCTCCTTCAGGGGGGCTGCTGGAGAGGAGGGGGGTCACGGGGGGAGGCAAGACTGGGGCAACGGCACGTGTGCCCACAAAGAGGGCTCCGAGTGCCGCTTATGGCACCCGTGCCATAGGTTCGCCACCACTGGTTTAGTGATTATTAATCAAAATGCCACGTTGTATAGAGAAAGGAAAGATTAAAATCTGTCTCAAAACCTGCCCTACCCTTAAATGAAGTAGCAAACTCAGGTTGGATGTTGTCAGCCCTACTAGGTAGACCAGACCAAGAAACAGACACTATGTGGATTTAACACTACTTTTACTAGAGTGGCTGTAATAGCAGAATCCTGCAAGTGTGAATGTACTTCCCCATCTCCCCTTTATCTTCTTGAGAATTTGGGGTGTGGGGGAGATTGCCTATCNACCCTTAAATGAAGTAGCAAACTCAGGTTGGATGTTGTCAGCCCTACTAGGTAGACCAGACCAAGAAACAGACACTATGTGGATTTAACACTACTTTTACTAGAGTGGCTGTAATAGCAGAATCCTGCAAGTGTGAATGTACTTCCCCATCTCCCCTTTATCTTCTTGAGAATTTGGGGTGTGGGGGAGATTGCCTATCAGATATTTTTGTAAAACTTCTGTCTTTGGGCTTAAGCCACGTTTATCTGTTTACAGGTAGTTCTCTACTTACAACCACGGTTGAGCCCAAAGTTTCTGTTGTTAAGTGAGATTTGTTGAGGGAATTTTGCCCCATTTTACGACCTTTCTGCCACAGTTGTTCAGTGAATCGCTGCACTTGTTAAGTTAGTAACACGGTTGTTAAGTGAATCTGGCTTCCCCATTGACGTTGCTTGTCAGAAGGTCACAAAAGGTGACCACGTGATCCCGGGACACTGTGACTGTCATAAATATGAATCAATTGCCAAGTTTCTGAATTTTGGTCACATGACCATGAGGATAATGCAGCGGTCGTAAGTTTAAAAAATGGTCATAAGTCACTTTTTTTCAGTGTCATTGTAACTTTGAATTGTCATTAAATGAACTGTTGTAAGTCGGGGACTACCTGTATTGCCTTGGTAATGGATCTTCCTTTCTCAATCAAGACCATGCTCTACAGATACACCGTACTGACTTTTGGAGAACTAAGTTGTAAACGGCATGTACAGTCTATCCTAGGGATAGGTAACCTTGGCTCTTTTATGACTCGTGGACTTCAACTCCCAGAATTCCTGAGCCAGCCATGCTGGCTCAGGAATTCTGGGAGTTCAAGTCCACGAGTCATAAAGAGCCAAGGTTGCCTACCTGTATCTCTTGAATTAGCCTCTTGTGGGGCTGAAATGTATTATCCCATTAAGGGTGCTAGAAGTTAAATCCAGTTACCAGCCAGGTTGGCTTCTGATTCTGGAATTTGCCATGGGTAGGGAAGGGTGAGGGGTGTTGTAGGGGGCATTTTTTCCCCCTGTCATTTATCTCTGGGCAACTTTGCTTTTTCTACTGATAAGGGAAGATTCCCTGTCCTGGATATTTCCTTTTCCCATTTTAGGATTAACTTGAGCAATTTTCTCATACATTCATGAAACATTCAGAACAGAACAGAATAACAGAGTTAGAAGGGACCTTGGGGGTCTCCTACTCCAAGCAGGACGCCCTATATCAGTGGTGGCGAACCTATGGCACGCGTGCCAGAGGCGGCACTCAGAGCCCTCTCTGTGGGCACACGCACTGCTGCCACTAGCAGCTCGCGCAGGTCCATTAGGCCGCAGCCGCTGCCCGGAGCAGCAGCTCTACCCAGCACAAAGCAGGCAAAACGGCCGGGTAGCAAGCTCGAGTAGAGGTGTTAGAGCAGGGGTGTCAAACTCAATTTCACTGAGGGCCGCATCAGCATTGCGGTTGCCCTGGGTGGTGTGTGTGTGGCCAGAGTGGGTGCAGCCTACTGGGTGGATGTGGCCTACTGGGTGGGTGTGGCTTACTGGGTGGGTGTGACCAGTTCTACATCATTCGCATCAAGGTTGCCTATGGGGGCCTGGGCAGGAGTGGGACAGATCTGAGGGTCTCTGGTAGGTGGTGGGATCGGGGCAAGTGCCAAGGCATGGGCCACCAGGGCAAGTGCCAAGATGGCCACCACAAAATTGTACATTGGCTCCCGGCTGGCCTGGGCCAGGGCCAAGGCAGCGGGGTCCGTTCCCTCACTGTTTCCAGGATGGCTTCGCGGGCCACATGAAACCACTTCGCGGGCCGCATCTGGCCCCCGGGCCTTGTGTTTGACATGTCTGTGTTAGAGCATCGAGGTGGCCATGCCTACCTGGCCACATCCACCCAGTCTGCTGTAACCACCCTGGCCACGCCTACCCGGTGGGCCACACACACCACCCTCCCTGAGGGAACCACAATGCTGATGTGGCCCTGGCACTTTGCAATAAATAAGTGGGTTTGGGGTTGCGGTTTGGGCACTCGGTCTCTAAAAGGTTCGCCATCACTGCCCTATATGATTTCAGACAAATGGGTGTCCAATCTCTTTTTAAAAGCCTCCAGTGATGGGAGCACCCACAACTTCTGGAGGCAAGCCGTTCCACTGATTAATTTTTCTAACTGTCAGAAAATTCCTCCTTACCGGTAGCTAGTTCTAGGTTGGATCAATGCGATTAGGAAAAAAAACTGAACCCGATAGAACTAAGATTTCCATTCCAGCCACAGAGAAGAGAAACTTTACCTAAACATGAGCATAGAAATATCAGTATCTGATTTATTTCTGTAGAAAAGCAGCTATGCCATCGTTCTGTGGTTATTGAGTTTTGCTGCTTGTTGCCTTTCAGTGTTGATCACGGGGAATGCATTTCCTTTGTGGCTAGCATGAAAACTAAGTAACAAAGGGAGGATAGGATGATCCATCTTTCCTCAGCCATCCCACTTGCTTTCCTGGAAGGAATTCCTGATCCTTATTGGTGAGCAGGTTAATTTTTAAATGAAAAGCTACAGCAGAGAGAGTTAATTATGTCCTTGCTCATTTTAGCTGCCTTGATTAAGTACACTGGTGGTCACTTCCTGACATGCCTATGAGATTCATTAGGTAAAATTTGCTTCATAAGCCACTAGAAAGGTCCAAGGCTGGATCTTTCTTTTGTGTTTGTTTAAATATATATTTGAGGGCAATCTAACTTATATTTATTTCTCAGATATTCTCAGAGAACGCAATGAATCTTGCTGCCAAATAGATATGTTCAGGATCAAATTGCTTAAGCCTTTTCTGCAATCCCTCTTAAGAAATCCTATTTAATTCTGGATCCTTATGTTTTGCCTAAAGCTCAGTTTTTGGAGTAACTTTATTGCTGTTTTCTTAGAACTACTATATTTGGTCTGCAAAAAAACAGATAATCAAGCCAGGTAAAATAGCCCCTTAACTTTCTAATGTCAGGTGTCCCAATGCATGGAGACTTGTCACTGGGTGTGGGAGTTCTGGGTTCAGGTTATGCCCCCAGTGTAGCTTTGCATTCTGCTAGGCAGCCTGGTTTGCCCATCTATGAAATGGTCTACCTTGCAGGGTTGGTGTGAGGCTGAACGTAAATAAAGGTATGCGAGTTGCAAGTTATGTGTAGTTCTTTTTCTTGCCATAGTGTTTGCTTCTTTACTGTATCCCAAAAGTGCTTTTCCAAAAGGCAAGTGGACTTTCTTGTTTTGTTTTTTTTCTTTGAAAACATTTCGCGTCTCATTCAGAACTGAAGAAGCTTCTTGGATGAGAAATGAAACGTTTTCAAGGGAAAAACCCCCCAAGAAAATCCAGTTGTGTTTTGAAAAAAAGCACCTTTGGGACAACCGTGACCTGGATGATTGAAAATCTCCATAGCCGCCTTTTCTATGCCTTTAGCATTTTTCTCCAGCTGTCCCTGGAGACATCTTTTTTTTTTCAGATTTTCCCACGAAACCTTGAGTTGAATCCTGACAACTAGATGGGCAACATTTTGGGTTGCAATTGCTTCTTATCGTTGCTTCTTGTCTCCTGGTTTAATTGGCTGGTGACTTGAACCATTTACCCGCTATGGGTGGTGTGTGTCTTCCTCAATCTTAAATTGTCTACTAAAAGCCTGGGAGTGTGAGGGTTCTGCACCGTATCTTAGCTGTGCCTAGCACTGCCTTCTTCTGCACAGAGAGCTCAGATGTTGTTCCCTGGGATCTTCTAAGCCCAGTTTAGGAGTCACAGACCCGAGTGTATTTCTACCACCACTGTCACTGTGGCTTTTATTTCCACATCTCTTTAGGCCAGGGGTAGGCAACCTTGGCTCTTTTATGACTCATGGACTTCAACTCCCAGAATTCCTGAGCCAACATGGCTCAGCTTGGAAACCTCTCCCTTTCCCCTCAGCACGGCTGGCTCAGGAATTCTGGGAGTTGAAGTCCACGAGTCATAAAAGAGCCAAGGTTG